ATTCGAGAAGGCGGGGGGAGGGGGGGGGGCGCAGATACAAATCTGGCTGTTTGAATAAACCCAAGAAATAAACCTTCCCACGAGCAAGGTGCTTTGGAGGGGAGGGCAGAGCTCTCTCCCTGCGGCTGCTCAGGGAAATCTCCTCCTTCCTACGGGCGCCTGCGTCAGCCCCCCAGTTTTCAGACTAATAATTGCTCCCGAGCATTTTTTTGTGATGGGAACAACCTGGGAGCAGAAACATCCCAGCGCATGAAAAAGGCACAGCCAGGAGAAGATGTTTTCCATTGGAAGGTGCCTCCCTGGGTGGGAAGGTGCCGAAGGCATCGGAAAAGCCAGACTCCTGCTCCTCACTTCAAGAAGCATCGTATTCAGGCTGGTTTTCCACCCCAAATCCAGGCACACCACAAGAACTGGTACACCACTGCGGGGAGAATATCCACCTGAGAGGGGGCTTGTAGCCCTCCGAGATACCCAACACGATGGATTTGGCATCGCCTTAGTTTAACTTGTCTCAGGGTTTCTCTTCTAAGGCCAGTAAAAGCAGTGCAGGACGCAGGCGCGCTGGGGGAGCTGCCTGGGCTAAGCCACGGGCGCGCTGGGGGAGCTGCCTGGGCTAAGCTACTATGATCACTTTGGATCTTACTTGCACATCACGCTTTTGGCTCACCAAAGGTGCTGTCAGCCAGATATCGCTGTTATTTTGCCTTCCAAAGTAATGCTTAACCCAACGACGTCAAGGGAGAAAGGCACAGCCATGGCTGGTGCAAAGAGCCATGGGCAAGGAAAGCCCCTGCAGCTGCCCCGCACCAGTGGAGCGAGATGGTCTCTGCTTTAAGGTTGAAAAGCCGGGGGGGTTGGAGGTTTTCGCCTGTCTGGCTTCCAAAGTACCAGCGGTGCGGCAAACCGGGGTGAACTTTTATTAGGGCGGTGGGTTGGGATTCAAGAAACTGGGGTCTGACACCCCGTCCAGCCGTGACCTCGAGCATCTGCTCTCAGAAACAAGATCCTCTTCAAATCCACCCTGCAGAAAGCATCCGTGAAAGCAACGTTGGATGGGGACTGGGATGGGGTCAAAGCCCTGAGTCCCGGGAGGGTTTGACCATGACCAGCTCCGAAATCCCAACACGAGCCTCCAACACAGCAACTGGCTCTGCCGGGTATAGGAAAGGACCCTGATCCCTCCTGGGTGGGGGTAAAAGCTACTGTAATGTCAATAATACACATAATTTATTACCAGCTGGTCACCGATTCTCTCCTGCCATCCATATTGCAAGTACTATGTTTTATTTCAGAGGCAAAAATCTTTATTAGGATTACTACTGAGTTACTTGCTTTCCTCCAGAGAGAAGAGATTCAAACCAGAAGAGCTAATGGCTTAAAGACCAGGGGTGACTTTAAAAGGATTCAACCCGTGGTGTTCTGTTCCCATTCATGCAACACCCCTTTTGCTAAACAAAATAACATTGCCTGCGTTTCTTACTTTTTTTCTTTTTCTTGTCCTTTTTTTTCCCCCTCATAGGCAGCTGTTTCTCTTGATCACATCTGTAGCAAATCTGCACTTAATCCCCCACTGACAGTACAGAAGAGGGTGGAAAAATGGAAGGGCTGATCCCAGCGCCTGGGATGTGGCAGGGAGGGAGGGAAGGGCTGTAACGGGAGCAGGAGGCTCTGGCCGGGGCGAGCTCCCGGGAGTGATCCCCTCTCCGGACCCCGTCTCCCCCCCGTCCCATCCCATCCTCCCGTGGCTCTGTATCTGCAGAGCCGCGGGATCCAGCTCCACCTGCCTCGGGGAGCCCTGCGGCCCCGGTTGCAAACACAGAGAGATGCAGCTCGAGGTTTGGACTCATTGCTTTAATTTTATTTTCCTTTATTCCACCTTTGGCGGTCTGAGGCCTGGGGCACTTTGCTGCAGAGCAGGGCCATGCCAAAAGCGGGTCGGCAAGAGGTTCCCCTGCATCGCTTTGCCCCGAGCAAGGTGGGAGCTGATGTCTTGGAGAGGATGGAGAGCTGGTGCCCGGGAAAAGCATCCCCGGCGTGATCCACGCTGCACGCCAGCCTGCAGCCCTCCTGGGCGGGGAAGCGCGGGGCAGCCCCGCATCCCACCGCTTCGAGGTTATTGCTGTGTCACCACGGGCAGGTTTTGGTTTGAATGCGGCGCTTCGGGCTGGTGACGTGGCAGCGGCCGTGAGCGAGCAGGCAGCGGCGGGCAGGGGTTCCTGGGTGCTGTTTGACGGGCGGCTTCCGCAGAGACTCGTTCGCTTGGCACCGGAAAACAACGGTCAAACCTGCCTTTCCCTCCCCCTGATGCGAAGCAGCACTAATCCTGCTGAAGGCGATGGAGACCCCCCGACACGGGCAAGAGGCGACTCAAACCTGAGGAGCATCGTTCAACTGCAGAAAAAATAGAGGATCAAGCCTGGCTGCTCGGGGGATGCCAAAGCCGTCCCCGCTGGGGGGAAGAGCTGCAGTGGGTGCAGCCCCCGGTGGGTGCTGGGGCGGTGGGATTTCAGATCCTGCCAGGGATCTGCCCGGAGGAAGGAGCATCCCTGCCAGGGAGCAGCCGGGACGCGGCGATGCCTGGAGCGGAGACCTGTTTGCAGCAGGACGGGGGCACTTTGCCACTGTCTGCCAAATTCTGCCAAATTTCACCCTCTGTAAATATACATAAAGTAATTTGTGGCCTAAATTGTGATTATTATTAGTAGTATTATTAGTATTATTCTTATTGTCGGCATCTCACCGTAGCCAGCACGGGGAAGGTTTAGCACTTAAGCTGCAGCATCCCAAAATGTGAGGACAGGTGATAACGCCCTGAGACCCCCCCAGCCCTTCCCTGTGCCGGCCTGGCCCCGCG